TAGTACCACGACTGCATTCGAAGACACAAAGTGTCGAGTCTCTGACTCATATTCCAAACCTATACTGCTTTCTCCGCAATAATTTCATTTATTAACTTGTGTCTCGCTAATACTAGAACTTAAGAAAAAAAGAAAGGCAGAGGAAGAACGTAAGATTATAGAAAGTTGGCTTTGCTTTGTATCGTGCTTATTCTTACTAATTTTTTGTTTGATCAGTTGTGATTACTAAGCCGAAGAAAAGGAGATGGGAAGTAAATGGTGCCATTCAACCAAATATAGTTCACGCAGTATATTTCGTGGATCCGACAGAGGAAAGTCGTCTACTTCTTGAGAAGATCCAAGAAGATCAATTTGTCGCTCTGCATGGAGCTAGAGCATCTGGCAAGTCTACGCGGGTACACCAAATTCAGAAGCAGTTGAATGACGAAGGCTACGTTTGCATTTAGTAAGTTCTAATTCTTGTTTGGCCAACTAGGATCGTCACACGCAATCTAACTATTATCTCTGTTTTCTTCATATATACTATCTCTTTTTCTATCTGGATCAGTGTATCTCTTGAACAAATTAACATTAAAAGCGTAGACAATTTCTGGCATACACTCGGCTCTCATCTCTATCTTGATGTTCCCAAATACATTAGACCCGATAGCATAAATTCTTCTAATGATTTCGATCTAGTGTTCCAGAAAAGCAAGTGGAAAAATCGTGTTGTTCTATTAATTGATGAGTTTGATATGCTATACCATGCAACAGAAGATGTTCTCTCTTCGTGTCTAAATACCCTCCATGACATTAAAGGAACAAAAGAAAATTATGCTATCTGGTCTGTTGTTGCCATCGGTCCCTTCAGTATCCTATATTTAAATTCGAATAATTTTACCACATCGCCCTTTAACGTTAATGAGCTATTTAAAAATCCAAATTTCACTCTGGAACAAGTGCAGTTTCTCTACAAGGAATTCGAAGACGAATATAATTTAACTATTGATCAGGAAGTAATTGAGGACATATATACGCAGACAAATGGGTAGGTGACTGGAATTATATATAACTATTTTTGCTAAGTCTTAATTTTCTTACTCTATCTTTTTTCAACAGACATGCTGGTCTCGTCTGCCTTTGCGGACGTGCGATCTATAGAAAATTACTTTCAGAGTTAGGAGTGGAAATGCGCTTGAACTATGACATATGGCAACATTTTACTGCCTTCTTGCTAGGAAATGAGATTTTAGAGTACCCAACGTTTATAAGGATGAAGGACGTTCTCCTGAAAGATGATACCGATACTAGGCGTGCTATAAATTTCATCTGATCTGATTTCTTGGTAAATAACGACCCTATATATGTTGCTGAGAATAAAAAGGATCTAGCTTTGTTTCTCACAGCCAAAGGAGTTTTGGTTCCTGGAGGAGATGCTGGGACATTTAAAATTTCTTCACCTTTGGTGCACTGGCTGGTCCTTCAGCGAATAATTCCCCACATGTTTCCGACTTCACCTAAAGTAGAGGTACCCTATCATCCATCCACGGGTAACTTAGACATTCTTGAGGCCTTGAAACAAATTGTCAGTATATTTGATCAAGAAACAATAAAGTCCTGCAATTCTTTTAAGTTAGCACGTGTATTGGTTAATAATGCAAATAATCGAGAAGTTCCTAGAGAATCGATGTATGATGCAGAGCTTTATCAGATCATGTCGAATTGGCTTGGTAGATTTACAGTGACAGGACAGTGGCATCTAAAATATCGTGCTAGTGGACATATTAATAATAAATACGTAGACATAGTCATCTCACGACCTGATCATCCGACCATTGCATTAGAACTCTTAGCTATAGCAACAAAAAAAGAGCTTAAAGAACACTATGAACAGGCACTCTTATACGATAAGAAACTACCTGCAGATGATACATGGATTGTCCATTTCACCTGTGAAGAAAACGCCATTTCGGAACCATGCTGGCCAACCAAGTCTCAACTGCAAAAGGGCCTTCGAGCTATATATTTCTGGCACAATCTTGATTTTACAAAGATTAAAATGATTGCATGTTGGTGGGATACAAATAATAATACGAAGCATGTTACTGATGTTGAGGAAATAATGGTGCGTTCCATTGTAAATATTTCTTTGATTGATCGCTTTGCATTTCATATTACTAATGACCTCTGCTCGATTATAGGTTACGCAATAGTTATAATATAAAAATTAGGAACAATATCAGAATGAGAATAAATTAGGTGTATTTATTTTTCATCCCTAAATTAGATAGCAAAATCAAATTAATCCCCATTCTACAAAGAAATGTAGTACGCATTTGCAATTATAAAGCAGTAATAAAGTTGGATACATAATCAGTTTACTTTTGCATATGTATTTCGGGATTTTATTACGTCGTATAATTATTGATGTATGTTAATCTGCATATGATCGAGAATTTCTTGACAAATGATCTGTAAGTTCCTAACCATTGGTCAGGATGATTTTATTTTCAAAATTTAAATAAATCCGTATCTTATAAAATAATGGGAAATACCAAATCCGAACTAGATCTATTAAAACAAGAGAATGCCAGGCTTTTGACTAGAATTGTGAAATTGGAACAAGCTGTGAAAGAGAAAGATGAGCTTATAGCTAGAATTATAAAATTAAAACAGTATAAAACAGATATTATAGATCTTAAAACTGAAAATATTAAGCTCAAAGATAGAATCACAAAATTGTAACAAAAACAGTTTTCAACTTGTCTAGAATTGCCAATCAATCCTCAATTCTGAAGGAGTGATTCTAAAATATTATTTATTCTATTATCTATTGAAGAGCTCTCTATTGATTTCATGTTCTTAAAAAAGAATTCTGATAATAATTCTGAAAATATATCTGATAATACATCTGATCCCAAAGTGACTGCCTTCAGCAATTCTGATATATGTCAAGAATTGAAAATTTTTACATCTCATCTTTGCAAAACCTAAATTATTAGAAGAAAAAATGATTAACAGTTTCTTATATAAGAAAGTATTAGTAATATGATAAGAAAAAAGAACTGGAAAAAGAAGCTTAGATCTCAAGACTTTATCTTATAAGAATAATAATTTTTGATAAAGATATCTAAAATAATTGCTATAATAGATAAATTATCTATAACAGCTTGAGAACTCTTATTATTTATTATTCAGATATAAAATATTACTCTCTCTAAAATAGCAGAAGCTAGTATATTGATACTAAAAATATTATATAATCAGAAAATTGAATAGAATATAATTTAAGAAGTAATTCTGTTTATTCAAAAAGAAAAGTTATTTATCTTATCAGATGAAAAAATATTTTTATTTTGTAAGACTAATATTATAAATTATATTTGTAAATATAGATTTTATTAGAAATATAGTCTATAATAAGTTTTGAGAATAAAGACTGAATTATATATAAAGATAAAGAGAATTATGATTATTCTAAAGATTTTCTAGTATCAATAATTATGAATATTATATTAATGTAAGATAAAAATAAAGTAAAATAAAAATAAAATTGTGATCATGAAAACTAAACTAAAAGTAGGTATCAAAAACTAATATTATAACAAAAATAAAAGATTTAGTATATTAACTAAACTCTCTAATAATATCTTTTTAACTATTAGATAAATAAAAGATATATATTAAAACAAAAATAAAGCTTTTATATG